GAGCCCCACCAGTGGCAGCCCCAAATGGCTCCCCGCGTGCACTGCTCTGCCTGCCCTGCCTGCAGGGCACTGGCCATCTGTGATACCCTGAAAGTAAAATACAAGCGTCTGGGGAGGCTGCAAGCTCCCAGCCTGCTTGGGCTCTCCATGCCCTGGTGGCTGGGGAGAGCACCCCAAGCCTGGGGAGATCCCTGTCATCGCCGTAGGAAGGTGCTGGAGTGAAGGAGCGGGGTTTCGGGCTTCCCAATCACTCCCAGGGACACCGTGGTTCGTAGCTGGGGCCTCACCGTGGGGTTATTCAGGCATGTTCACCCCCACCTTTTGCTGTGTGGCCCCATTCTGCAAACCCCCAGGCACTTTTCTTTGGAGCCTGGCTGCAGCAAGGCTGGATGCATTTCAGCTTTGACCTGCCCCAGGCAAAGTGAGAAGGGTGACTGTGGCTGTTTGTCAGGTGGGGAAACTGAGGCATGGAGCAAGTACCAAGGACCGCATCCCTCATGCATGTACTGGGGAGCGGTGCCAGGCAGTTTGGGGGGGGGAGGAGTAGGTGGGTGGCTGCTGCCCATCAGCTCCGCGCCCAACTTTGGCACTGCCTGCCTTGGAGGGACACTGGGGACCACAGGAGGGTGACACAAAAGCCACTGTGGGGTGACACCAGGTGCACAGGAGACGCTGGGGGGGAGGCCAACAGAGGGGCCAGGGGTGATGCTGGGACTCAGGTTTTGTGGAGGAGCCCTTTCTCCATCCCCTCTTTCCCCAGTGCCTCCCCAACACCCCTCACCCCTGGCAAGCTGAGCTAATGGCCCTTGGTGGCCTCTCCTCTTTCGCAGGCATCAGCTCTGTCACCGGAGAAGGTGACATGCCCAGCAGCATGCCCTGGGTATCACCGCTGCCACGGCGGCTGTGGGGCTGGCCCAACATGAAGGCAGTTGTCACCGCTGGGGTGTTTATAACCATCCTCTGGAACCTGAGGTACTTCCTCAACCCCTCTGAGGTCTCTGGAGAAGCCTCCAAGCAGACTGAGCCGCTGGTGGTCCTGGTATGGAAATGGCCCTCAAAGCAGGTCCCCAACATCAGTGGGGACGTCTGCCATGAGCTGTATGGCATCGCAGGCTGCTGGGTCACCACAGAGCGGCAGCTCCTGGGCCAGGCAAATGTGGTGGTGTTCCCCCATGCCAGACTCCAGCCCGGCAGGGACAGGCTGCCCAAGGAGAGGCCACCAGGGCAAAACTGGGTATGGGTTTCCCTGGAGTCCCCATCCAACACTAAAGCTCTGGCAGGATGGAACCAGACCTTCAACTGGGTGATGACCTACAGACAGGACTCAGACATCTTCATCCCCTATGGCAAACTTGTGCCAAACCTGTCAGGCACTGTGAACATCCCCACAAAGACCAACTTGGTGTCCTGGGTTATCAGCAATTACCACAGGACTCAGAAAAGAGCTGAAGTCTACAAAAACCTCTCCAGGTACCTCCACGTGAACATATATGGGAAAGCAAACAAAAAGCCTCTTTGCAAGGACTGCCTCTTGCCAACAACATCCAAGTCCAAGTTCTACCTGGCCTTTGAGAACTCCATCCACCAAGACTACATCACTGAGAAGCTCTGGAGGAACTCGCTGATGGCCGGCACTGTGCCTGTGGTGCTGGGGCCTCCCCGGGCCAACTATGAGCAGTTCATTCCTGCAGACTCCTTCATTCATGTCGATGACTTTGGTTCCCTGGCAGAGTTGGCCACCTTCCTGAAGACTATGAACTCCAGCCGTTACCAGCAGTTCTTCGCCTGGCAGAAGAGGTACAGCGTGAAGCTCTATGCCGACTGGAGGGAGCGGATCTGCACCATCTGCACCGCCTACCCCAGCCTGCCCCGCGGCCATGTCTATCCTGACCTGGAAAGCTGGTTTAACAGCTAATGCGGGGCTGGTGTGTGCTGGGACCATCAGGGACACATCCGAGCAGAGGATACTGCGGTGGGGGGAGCATGGGGCACCCTCCTACAGACCAGGACAAGGGGCAGGGAGGGATGCGGGAGACCTGGCGTCTCCTCCCAGTCCGGCTGTTGCCACACTGGGACCTTGAGCAACTCCACGTGACTTAATTTCTTGCAAAACGGGACTAACCCCCTCACCCCCAGACCTGATGCTGACCTACCTCGCCAGGCTGCTCTGGAAATCAAAGCCACAGTGCTGCAGATGCTCTGCCTATGGCACAGGGGCTGGGCAGGGCCAGGGGGGCTGCAGAGAGAGCTCAGGGCTCCCCAGCCTTCCCCTGCAATTGCTCTGTGTGTCCCCCCAGCACCCTGTGCTGAGTGGCAAAGCCCTGGTGGCAGAGGCCCCATGGTGACATGTGGAGGAGCCGAGCTCAGGGCAGCCCAGGGTGGGGGCCAGTGCCCTGCAGCAGGGGTGGAGAGCACAGCCTCTACTCCACCACTTCCTGGCACAGCCCAGCAGCACCCATTTCCCCCCCACACCCCCACTCTTGAGTTGTGGGTGTCACCGTGCCGGTGATGACCATCAGGACACAGGATGCTCTTGAGACCAATCTCAGCCTGCTCAGTGCCAGGCCAAGGCAGAGAGGGATGCTGTGGTTTCTCACTCCCTTGTCAGCACGCCTGCCCTGCTGCGGCAGGAAGCTGGCGAGGCGGTGGCGTCTGGAGCCTCACAGCGAGCCCAGAGCAAAGCTGGTCCCTTGGGCACCCTGCAGCACCAGCAGCCTTCTCTGTGTGCCCTTGGCACTGCCAAGCCCCTGCACACCCTGTGCTGTGCATGCACCCCGCACCACAGGCTCTCTGCTTGGAGGGCACACTGCACTGTGGGCACCCTGCACCACACAGACTGTGCACAGAGAGACTCCTGTGCTATGAGCACCCTGCAGCACACACCCCCTGTGCCCTGGAGAGGGGCAATGCCCAGACATTGGGCATCTCCCAGGGAAAGCACCCATCTGGAATCAGTGCAGATGTCAGGGTTGGGTGACAGGACCAGGGTGGGGAGGGTGACATGACTGCTCCATCCGTACCTTCCTCTGGACCCCTTGACTTGGTGCTGACAACCCGATATAAACGACTTATTTTGTCACAGGTTTCCCCTGGTTTCCCTCACCACAGCCCCAAAGTCACCCAACCTCACCCTTCCCACCCAGCAAGCTGCCTGCTGCCCTCTGGGACCTGCTCCCTCTGCCCGGGGTGCAGTGGGACGTAGTTGTGTGGAGACACCCCTTCAGCAAACGGGACATTCCTGCCCCAAGCTGGCACTTCACTGTCCCCAGCCCAGCCCTCGCTGAATTGCAGTTACAGGCATGACACTCTTCTGATTTCTGTGGCTTCCGATTTCCGTTCCATTTTGTCTTCTGGGTCAACTGAAAACAGAGCAGGAGGGGCTCCAAGTGCCTGTGGGCAGGGCACTGGGGTCGGGATATTTGGGGGTCCTGCAGGGTGCTGGGGCTCTGGCCTGGCTGGCCTTTTGCTGGAGGGGGAAATCAGATGGTGGAAATGTGGAGAAGCAAACCTCAAGGAGGCGACATCCTTCCCAGGCTTTCTGCTACCGATCCAGCATCCAGCATCCCCAGCTCACCCACCAAAATTGCCAGGCAGCCATGGAGGGGGGCAGTTTCTAGTGGGTGCCGTGCCTGGCTGTGTCCCCACCATGCCAGCAGGCAGGGACACAGCCCTGGGCACCCAGGCACTGGGGAGCAAGTCGGGACACGGGGCAAGCCAAGGCAATCCTGCCCCATGGGGCTGGCACCTGCCCCGGTGTGCCCCCCAGCCTTTGCTGCATCTGAGGTGCCTGCAAGCGGCTCCCTGCAGCGGATGCAGGCGGGCAACTCCTGTGCCTGCATCCTCACCCTACCCTGTGCTCCCTCTGGCAAGTGATTCCCCTTGTCCAGCAAACCCATCGAGGACATCAGTGTGGCCAACGAGTGGCACCACAGGCTGGTGGCAAACCAGGCTGCAGAGGTGGTGGCCTGAAGACTGGGGTGTCATCCCCAGACACTTGCTTCTCCCATCTGGGCTGGCACCACCCAGCATGGCCACCGCGAGGCTGCCTCGGCTGGACCATACCCACAGAGCATTCCTCGCCCACCGGTGCCACGCTGGCAGCCCCGTGGCAAGGACAGCCCAGGCTTCTCCTACCTGTCCCCTGCCCACCCTGAGGTGGAGCAGCCTGCGAGATCCCACTAGGTTTCCTCCCTTTCCAAAAGCAGCTATGGAAAAAACAGCTCAAACCAGGTGGAAGATGATGCCCCTCCTCCCCGTCCCGACCACCTCTGCTTTGGGAGGGCACAGCCCCTACAAGCTGGTGTCCCTCTACGGCAAGCTGCCACTCCTGGTGGTGGGCTGGGCTGCAGGCAGCCAAGAGCAGGATGTTGGTGGCACGACAGGGACAGGTCAGCCCTATATGTGTGTACTGGTCCAGCCCCACTGTGCCCCTGCACGCAGCCAAATCCACGCCACCAGGCTGCCTGGTACCGTGCAGGAGCAGGCATGCAAAGGAGGCCAGGAAAGGGTTAACTCACTCTCATGCCCCAAAGAACTGAGATTTATTTAATTGCCAGACGGAATGTGATTAGGAAAAAAAAAAATAAAAAATCATCATCAACTACAGCAGGCTCAGAGGCACAGGGGTGCTAGCAGCATGGACAGGACAGTGTCAGG